AATTAAAAAAATTGTTTTTTTTTTTAACTGTATTTAGTGTTTTAGGTTTTTCTGTATTTTACAGTTTTGAATGAAGTTTGACATTTTATCTATTTTTGCCTTGCCTCGAAGTGAGAACTGAATCGACTGAGTTACAAATTTATCTTTTAGAAAATTAGAGGAAATAAGTTTACATGAAATGAAGCAAAAAAAAAGGTATAATTTAATACGCCGTGCAAGGAAATCTTGTGGCGTCCACATTAGGCATTTTTTAATAAATAATGAATGAATGAATAACTATTTCTAATTTTTTCCCATTTTTTTCTGGTAAAAAAGAAATAAGACAAATCAGTTTAAAAAGAGAGAAGCATTCTAAAGCTTCGGATGAATTTTGTTATAACAAACATGATTTTTCCAATTCTCTGGTCAGCCGCATTATGTTATTTGTTTTTCTGCGTAAGCAATCGCTTTACACTTATACAACAACAACATTAAAAAATGAAATATTTTATGAAATATTCAACGTATAAATTATAGGAATGACGCTAATCTATGATAACAAATATGTAATCACTAACCGAATCTTGATTGATTCGTCAGTTCAATAAATGACAGCGTATCGAAATTGATTCAGTAATGCACCACTAAATTATAAAAAGAAGCATTCTACAAATTTAAAAAAATTATTAAATATAACAACATCTTTGACATAAACTATGTCTGAACTTCTCAATTTAAGCAAAAAATCATACTGCCGGATATCTTTTTTGAAACAATTTTAATCATTTAAATGAGCCTGATAGGAACACCAAATGACTTTTTTGTACGACCTATTAAATTATACACATTTTTTACTGCATTTTGTTTAAACTTATTCCCTCAAATTATTCTAACTTAATTAAACTCTCCCTCAAAACAAATTGAAAATGACTGGAAAAATTGCAAATTGGAATAATCTGGATTGTAGATCTTAAAGAACTCTAACAGTGAACCACCAACAGATTAAGTTCCAAATGGGAAAAGTTGTAGGGCTTAGTACCAAAATAATAAATTTTTTTAACAAGTACATGAAGGCTATATGTCTAAGGAGAGGGATGCCTTTATGGAGAACTTTCTAAGTGACTATGGAATTTCACGAAAAATCAACCCCGCAGCCAGCTCGTTCGCCTAGGTTTGAAACCCGGACGAACTACTAGTATTTAGAAATCTTAACCACTGGTGGGGATTTTATTAATTTAGAATAGGAAATTAAGCAACAAAAGTGCTGAATTTAATAAGTATATTTTTATTTTTTGGGGAGGGGGGGGAGAGATAGCTTGAAAACTTTATTTTACTAGGCATTTTACCTAATTTTTAGATTTTCTTACTGATGCTTTAATGAATATTTTGCCTTCAAGTTGAAGACATTGTTCACGAAACATCAATAAAAAGATCGCTTGTGCTGTTCCTCCTAATTTTTACTTTTAACGAGTTTTATGCATTACTGAGTTTCATCTAATAGAAGCACGTATAATCAAGATAGACGTAATTAAGAAGAAAGAATTTTCAGGGCACATCTGAACAAAGAATCGAGCGTTCCGCGACACAAATTATACCTTCTTTCTTAGGAAGAAGTACTCGAGCAAGGCTCCGTAACGTTGAAATAATGTTTAGATTTTTTTTTAAAGGATTTCTTAGGATAAATGAGTTTCAAAATTATTTTTATATTACCTCATTGACTCAAAGTTCTATTATTTTTACTGTATATTTCGTATGCTTTTAAAGATTTATTGTTGCTAATGACGAATATTTTACAACGAATTTAATTTAATTTTAATTTCAAACGGAATTATTTTTTTAATCTGAATTTACGAAAATTTAAATTCTTTTATTCATTTACTTTCCTACTGGAATTAGACCTGAACAGCTTAGCTAAAATGCGATGTTTATCAAGTTTACGATATTTACACATGAAAAGTCATTCGGAGTTTTGTGGGCATTTGCCCTAGCAGCTTTATCTTTAAAATTGCGTGTATAATACGTGTATAATACGCGTATATCGCACGTATAATCAAGACAGAAGTAAATTTGAAATCAGTTCAGTTAATTGTAATTTGAAGCAAACTATTCTGTAATCTCTAGTGACGAACTGTTGCTCATCTTTCTACAGCTGAGAGTCATAAATCAGTCCATAACTCCAACTTGTCGATGCTCAGTGAAGCGCGTTGAGACGACAGATAGGAAGTAAAGCAGGACATCACAAATTGACAAGTTGTTCCGTTTCTCCCACCTCCCAGACAATGCAGCAATCAAAACCGCCCATCGAGCCTACTCCGGTACAACAAAGTGAGGACCAAACCTACCACCAGAAGCGATACAAATACCACACAGGAACTCATTATGATGCTCTACATCCGCAGCCGGCAAGACACGCGACTTTTCACAAAAGGGCAATCAGAAGAGCCACGCGACATGCAAAGCAACGTGGCTGAGCACACGCTCCAGCACGGGGAAGTATCGGACCCAGGAAATCAGTCACTGTGGTAATGACAGTTTCCCAATAGGGCAGCTGCGTTTGCGTCTTGTGCCAGCGCCACGCGCAGTGAATGGCTTACTACTTGTTGAGCTCTTTTTTTAGACACGAATGAATAAGTCACTTTTTTGTGCGGGTGTTTGTTTAACTTACTTTGTGGAGGTAAACCGCTTAGAATTTTTTTGAATCGTACTTTGCTTTTGAAAAGCGTATTTATCACTTAATTCGTATGGTTTTCCTTGTGATATGTGGTCGATCGTTGCGTTAAATTGAAATATATCTGAATCGAATTATTTCTTTCCTCTAACATTTCCGTACAGGACTTTTCATTCATGAAAAATAGGCAAGCTCCAAATAGAATATTTGTATATTGAAGGCATCTTATACTGTACTTTTTGTTGTATGATATGATAAGAAAAAGATTGACTAAGGTATGACTACCAAAATTTCGCAAGATTTTGATGGCTGAATGTTTAACTGATTACTGCTAAAGCATACAAGGCTTACTTGCTTTATAACGGATACCTTTATTGAGAATGCTTCGGGATGAAAAAGATTAAAAAACTCGTATTCATGTTGCACAAAGAGGAAACTGCGAAAATCCAATGCAGTCAAACACACTTATCGAGAACAGAACCTAGGACAAATTACAGTGTTCGGGCGACCTTATTCACTCGGCCAATAACAAGATTTGCATTTACCAGAAAACTGAACCAGAATGCCTAATTCCCACATGAGACATAATATACAGAATGTCCCAAATAAAAGTAGACACACTGAACCAAAAAAGGATGCTAATTTGATTTGCTTTGATAGTGTTAAGGATTTTTTATAATAGTGTTATGTCAGTGACAATGCGGTATGTTAAAACAATGTCTATATTACATATACAGTAATAAAAGCAATGTTGTACTGAAATTCGATCGGAGTGTACTTTTATTGGGATATCCTGCACATTTATAATTGATTTTATTCCAAAATTATAAATAAGCTATTTTAAGAAATAAATATCGTACCACTATTAAGGGTACAGTTTTATAAAGTACGAGTTGAAATGGGCAAATAACGTCAACTACATATTTGATTGCTCATTTTATTGAATTTCAAAGTGCGGTTGAAATACTGGATCATCCCATAAATAATACAGTTTTTTCAATTTAACCAAATGTCAGAGAAGGACAGGTTAAACTACTTGCAGCAATTTGCAAAAACAGGCAGTAATTTTACCTTGTTCTTATTCTTAGTGAGGTTTTGAAGAGCGCAGTTGAATTTTAATAATTTTTTTTAAACCTAAATGGAAGTTACAAAGGATCACATTCAACATGTTTTGCTTTATGAGTTCAATTAATTATCAGCAAGAATATTATTATAGTAGTATATGGGAATCGGGCAATAAGAGTAAGCCAATGCTAACAATGGCTCCAGAAAATAAATAAATTACAGCCTAGAGCCTTTTTCTTAAAAATCTGCGGAACTCGACCAGGACGTCCTGCAAGCAAACACTGGTGAATAAAATCTAATTCCCATCTATTAAAAACATGCAAAAGATATTCTATTTCATTAAAAAAAGGACTTCAAGACAGAGCCAAAGTAAAACGTAATATTAACCAAAACAACAACCTTACGTTTGGTTTTAATCATGACCCTGTCGATTTCGAGAACAAACTGGTACAGGTCCCTCTTCATAAGGAGCAAAGAAATCTGTAACGAAGGGAAGGCCATGGTTGTATTTACGCCCATAAGGAGTAAAGCGAGCTAGAATATAGCGCTATCTTTTGGCAGAAATAGTAATGAAAATTAAAAAATTAAGTTAAGAGAATTTTAAAAGCGTTAGGAAAGACTGAATTGGAATTAAAGTTAGTAACTAAATATAATAAATCTTCGTGAATATGAAAAATGTCGAGAAAATCCAGTTCGTCAATAGAATAAGCTTTTAGGATAATTTCTGCAGACCCAAAATCAAAATTGTGATTCAATTTCCAACTATGATTAGCCATCGAAGACTTGTTAATTTCGCCTTTTCGGATATAAGATTAGTGTTCCTGTATCACTTTAATCCTTTAATCGCTTTGAGGCACAGGATTATTGTTTTGCCTAGTTTTATGATTTTTATCTTAATTCTGAAAAATAAAAGAAGTATAAAAAAACTCATTATTTATGGGGTAGCTTTACATAAAATTCGGAGAACATCATTTCAAAATCAAAGCTGCGTGGGAATGCTTGATTACTCACAGCTAAATTTTGAAAAAATAATAAAGTCAAATAATGCACAACTGAGGTTAAGTTACTTATTATTACTGCTAAACTCACTAAGTTTCATTCCATTCTGTGGGAATTCGTTAACCACAGAAGTTTAATATTATTACGTAACGTGCACATTATCATTCATTTCTTCAAAACAAAGCTAAGAGCGAATCAATCTTATTTTGCAACACGAGTGCTATCTAATTAATTACGAGTATCATACGCTTCCAAACCTGACTGGTTAGCTTAATGAATAATAACTTACCTGAACCCTGGCTTCTGTGAGATCAGTTTTCATGGCTATTTCTTCTCTTGTGTAGATGTCAGGGTAGTGCGTTTCTTGGAATGCCCTTTCAAGTTCCTTCAGCTGTGAACTAGTAAAGGTGGTTCGGATTCGACGTTGTTTCCGCTTCTCTGTCAGCACTCCATCATGTCCTGTGTACACTTTGTATGGCAAACCACCTACGAGAAAATAAAAATTACGGTTTTCAAACTACTTACTTTTACTCTGATAGGCTGTGTATCTGTGTTCTAACATTAGCTGTTGTCACATTAATTTACATCTCCTAAATGATGCCTTATTAAATACAAATTTATTGTTTTTAAAGCTCGATTTGTTGTCGGCAAAATAGAAAGTACTGCCACTTAAAGGAAATACTTTTTGCAAGCCTCTCGCACAAGCGATTCAGGGAAGCAAATGCATAGCTACATCTTGAAAGATTAAAAGCGTCTGTTAATTAGCCATAAAGTAATAACGTAACAATTTCATTTAAAACGTAAGATTTTATGTTCTGTATCTGCAGATCTATATAGCAAATTTGAATTTTATTTATTTATTTTTTAATGCGCAAAATTCTTAACCACTAAGGTCTCTCTAATTCATGTTGTCTTGCTACTTTCGAATTTGAAATGATTGTATAGCTCTGTTTATTGATCTATATAGCTCTGAAAATCTATATAGCGAATTCTATATAGCGAATTTGAAATGACCTAATAGCAATAGGTCTACACAGCAAATTTCTTTTTCTATAATTTGGCTTTGTTTGTTTATAGCAGTCCCTTTAAAATACTAGATTTTACTGTTCTATATCTTGAATTCTTGCACGACTTAGTAAGTGTATCATAACAGCTCAGTTTAAAATTGTTTCAGATGTTAAAACTAAAATCTGCATACCAGTATCACACTCTAGTGTTTTCAACTTATGATTTTTATCTTTTTAAAATATTTTATTAATTATTTAAACATTAATGGCAAGTTTTTCGAAGTGTTAGAATATAATTTAAAATTTTTGTACTGCGTTGTCCCATCTAAATGCAGAGTATAGTTGGATTATTTGTTTTATAAATGAATCTCTCAGCAGAGATAAATTTTTATGGCTTGTATATCATCGCAGGATAAAGCAATTTGTTAAATGCATAATGAAATTAAAATTTAATTTGCGAAATCCATAATGAAAGGAAATTTGAAATCTTGTATTTCCTATTTGTAAAAAGAAAGAGCTGACAATTTATTAAATTGATTTAAATTTCATAGTATACTACTCTTTAGTTATCTTATTTTTAATTAATCAGTAGTAGTAAAAGCGCTAAGTTTTTTCTTTGTTTGTTTGTCTTTTGTTTCGTTTGATTTTCGAACTTCCAAATCTTCTATTTCAGGAATTCCAGCGATCTTACATTTAAGCAGCCAAAAGTAATTTTGATAGAGTATTGAACTTAAAAGCTCCGAAGTTTCATTTAACTCTATTCACAGAATTAAATCCGCAGGCATTTCATCACTTTCTTAAATTATTATAAGTGCCTGATGAAATTATAAAGACGGCTAAGCATAATTTAAAACGCGGACCTCGAAACTAAAAAAAAAAAACAAATCTCCATACGAGACGTGCAACAATGCCCTAATTAATCAAAGTGCAAACTTACTTCCTTCTCGCTGTTATCAGTTTGTGTGAAAACTAATCTTCCAAAACAAACTTTTATTATGTTTTAAAAAGCCGACGCAGAAGGGGGAAGCGTATAATTAAAATTTATGACCAGTTTCAATTTCCGGAGAAGCCGCGTTTTGCTTCTAATAAAGTGTTGCCATTCTCTAACGAACAAAGTCTGATATTTAGATTAAAAAAAGGAGAGAATACTTGAATAAGTTGTGGCTCAGTTCTATCGTTTTGAGCAGGATTAAATTAATGTCTAATTTCGCTTAGTTTTGAAGAATTTTTGAAGATTGTTATCGCGTAAAGAGAAGAAAAAATAAAAAAGAAGCCGCTGGAGAATTGAATTTCTAGTTACTTTAATTCTAAAACAGTTAACGCTATATGAAATTAACTTTGTTTCAGTTAATACTAGAAACGAATCAAATACACAAAAGTTAATTTTATTCTTAATTCTTACTTTTATTTTATTCCAATTATTTATTTTCACCAATATTTTAATCGGTATAGAAGAAGCAGTATGTAATTTATATATTTTTATTGTACCAATAATTTAGAAGTAAAAATTTTACTACATATAAAGCAGAACAGTATCAGGTAAAACAAATAATGCTTAACACTAAAAGTAAACAATCACATTTGAATTATAACAGAGATTCCATAATTATAAATATATTTCACGTGTTTCCCTATATTTCGAATAATATTTTCTTTCCTGACGGAAAAAACTAATATGCACTGTTTCTGTATCGAATATTCTGCAAGAAATTTATAATGTACATAATTTGAAATATTTCCTATTAATCATAGTACACTCATGTCCATAAATTAAGGATAATGCAAAATCAGGCAAAGGAAGAGTTAGAAGCAAAACAAATTTGACTTATTTGTAAAGCTTATTTATTAAACAAAAGGTAAAGAGCAAAAAAAGATGCTATATGTTTGATATTATTAAAAAAATTAGCGATTTTTTCTCCCCTGGAGCAAATTAAAAAAAAAAAAAAAAAAAAAAATCCTATTTACAAAAACCAATATTACATGGTTGGTATGATTGTTAATACATTGTATGTCTCCCAGACGATGCAATGCAGTCCGTACAAAGCCTAGGCATGCTGAGTATCAAATTATCGATCTGATCTTGGGGGATATTACACCACTCAGAAAGCAATGCTCTCCGAAGTTCCGGTAGACATGTAGGAGGAGGTTGACGGGCTGCAACTCGTCGGCCAAGCATGTCCCACACGTGCTCTACTGGATTAAAGTCCGGTGAGAATGCTGGCCAGTCCATACGGGTGATATCCTCCGATTGAAGGCATTCGCTTACGGTGTTTGCACGGTGAGGACGGGCATTGTCATCTATAAACTGAAATTGTGCGCCCATGGCGCCCCGAAACAAACGTACATGTTGTTCCAGAATGACGTCCCGATAGATTTGGCTTGTCATGGTTCCAATTTGAACATGCAGGTCAGTTCTGGAACCCAGAATAATTTCACCCCAAACGAGCATTCCTGCACCACCGTAACGGTGTCGTTCAATGATGTTTTCTTGGTGGTAACGGGTACCTGGAGCTCTCCATATGAAAGTTCGGCGAGAATCAGATTGCAAGCTAAACCTGGACTCGTCGGAAAACATCACACAAGCCCCACTGTTGCGGTGTCCACAATGCATGCTCTCTACTCCAGGCTAACCGCAGGCGACAGTGAGTTGCAGTAAGTGGAACGCATCTGACAGGTCTACGAGCATATAGACCACCAATCTGCCCTAAGCGTCTGTACACGGTCTGCCTTGAAATTGTCGTACCAGTGGCTGAAGAGAGCTGACGAGACAGGTCTGAGGCTGTGCTCCGACTGTTTCTTTTGTCAGTAACTGCCAAATACCGGTCCTCATTCGCCGTTGTAACTCTGGGGCGACCTGTGCTGTAACGTGTACTCACATTACCATCATCTTGGAATCGTTGCCAAAGCCTGGAGATGACACTCTGGGCAATTCCAAGTTCGTCTGATACTTCCAGTTGGGTACGTCCACATTCCAGACGGCCGATAATTCTACCACGTAAAAAATCATCCGAATGCGTCCTTTGTGTCATAACTATTCGGTTATTGCACTGAAATGCTTATAAAGTGCCTGCGAAAAATTTTACTTCTTTGCCTGTATTCCTTATATATCACTCTCTTACACTCTCGTCATTGTGACGTACCATCGGTGTCATCTGGTTACTTCCTGAAATTTGCATATGATTCTTGAAGATGTGTGTAGTGATTTTGCAGGTGATATATTTATTTTAGAGTTCGATTTCCGCGTGACTCCCAATTATCCTTAATTTATGGACATGAGTGTATTGTAAATATTTGAAAAATATCAATTAAACATATTGCACAATACTATAAATAATGTTTATGAATACTTTATTACCTACATTTACATGAATTATTAAGAATCATATTGCTTTTAAAAAGCTCGTTTTATAATGTAATGGGATATTATAATCTTCTGTAACTTAAAATATATAGCAAATAGAGATTTAGTTATCGAGAAGTGCATATATCATGTTTAAATTGATCAGTATATTACACTGTTAAGCAATGCACTTATATAGTTTACAGTGTAAAGAAGAGATCTTGTACGCAGGAAATGGAAATAATTGTCTGAAATGTCATTTTGCGAGGTCCGTGAATATTAGTATTGTAAACATGACATATTACGTAAGTGTAAGATGACTATGTTATAAATGTGTCTAACTGCAATACAGAAAAAATGAAAGTATCATGCAACCTGAGAAGTTTCAATTAGATGAGTAGTTTAGACCAGAATGCCGTGAAACTACACATAGAATTGAAGATCTTTATAAGTAAAAAAATTAAGCATAGTTTCGACCTCTTCTTAAAACTAATGGATGAAAATATTAATACTTTCTTCTTTCAGATTTAAAAAATATTCAATATATTTCACAAATTTTACAGGGAAAAAAATTTTGAACTAAACGTTTCTATTTGACGATATTGGATAGACATTCGATGTTTGAAGAAGATTATGCTCCAAGATTATCGGCAACCCAAAAATGTCAGTTTTTCATAAAATTTTCTAAAAGAAATTTCTAGTTTTCGGGCAACCTAGCAATATAAAGTCTACAATACTCATCATTAATCGGACGACACGTCACGAAATACAAACACACGCCGTCACGTCTCAAAATATAAACAAAATGGTCGTCACTTAGCTATAAGCACGTTAAAAAATATTAAAATAAGCTTATAAACTTATTTCTTACTGCTACCTATATTATTGATCTTCTTACGGTTTACTGATTGAAAAAAATCGAACCAACCAATGAAAGGGAATGAGGAACCGTATAAATGATATTTAAGCAAGGATTCGTAAACAAAATAAGATAAAAATATTTTTAAAAAATTATAATTATTGTATATTTTATTTGTTAATTTCTTTTTTAAAAAATATATTTTTATTACAGAAAAAATTATTTTTCATTTAAATTTAGAAATAATAATTCCTCTTTTATTTATTACTTCCCTATGCGA